TTTTTTTTTTCTCAGCGTCTTGTCAATGTTTGTCTTTATTAATTGCGCAGCGACGTGCCTTCCTCGCGTATCAAAATAAAGAAGATTTATAATTCAAATAATATCTTTCAATTCTAACGCTAATATTAGTGCAAATTCCTCTATCTCCAACAATTTTCAAGACATACCAAACACGTTCGTCACCCCCGATTACCGTACACCAAACTATCATCGACATCAGTAATCACCACTTAGAAACGTCCCCTTGCCACCATCATTCCAATAAAACATAACAAATACGAACCTTTCGGAAGAGGATCGACGCTGTTCTGTGCGGAGAACTCCCCCAATCCCAACGTCCTATGGTGTTGATTCTGGTGGTGGTGGTGATGATGATGATTCTGCGGCGGAGGCGACGCTTCCCTGACACAACCCATCAATGTCAGGGCACCTCCAACGCCACCTCCACCTCCTCCGCCGCCTCCTCCGCCACCGCCGCACCCCCCTCCTCCGGTGGCGGTGCTCGTCGACATCCTGCTGCTCTGAAACACCCCGAAGAACCATGCCGCCACGTAAGACTCTCTGACACGTTGGTACCAAGCCGTTAGGAACGAATTCTCCGCCCTTTTCCAACTCTTCCAGCCATCCATGACCTTCTCTCTCGCTTTTTCTCTCTCCTTAATCCTTTATCTCTTAACCCCACCCCCCTCCCTTCCCTCCTTTCCCCACCACTCTCCTGTCACCCCGCAGGAGCACGCACACAGGACAAGTACTATATCTCTACCGATCGCGAGCGGAACGAACAAGTACGGAGAGACAATTCGGGGATATCGATCCGCACCAGCTGACCTTAGTCTCCGTTCATACCGACCTTGCACAATGCCTCGTTACCACTGTATCTCCACGCGTGTGCACGTTCGAGCTAACCGGTTTTTCTTTCGGAGCAATCTTTTCCTTTTTTTCTTTCGAGCTAACGATTCGTTGAATAATGCAGCTCTTTTTAAGGAGATAGGGGTGAATCAAGTACGGAGGGTCGGAAATGATCGCACGCAACGTTCGAACAAATTCGCAGGAATTCGTGGTTACATCGAGTTTCGTAACACAGATCGTGACGTAGTTCTATCCAATTCGACGATTAATTCCCGTACTGTTTGGATCAGGTTTACGCAATTTCCTCCCGCGATTGCGTAACACAGAAATCGTCTTATTATATCACAATCGTACAAATCCTCCCCTGTAACCACCGCAATTCGTAGCTTCCTCGCGAAATTCTCCACTAAGCTCCTCTCCTCCACAGCTCACTTTCTCGTCCCTCCGCGACACGGAATTCCACGCGGTGCAAGGTCACCGAGAGTGTCTCCTCAATGAAATTCCACGGAAATCCAGGGTAAACGGAGGTTCACGGGGTCACACTTTTCCTCGAATTAACACAGAGAACGGTAAAAACTGAGAGCTGAACTTCCCCGAGCTTTCGGTATCAGCTGGAAAATTGCTGAAAAGAGGGTCGCTCTCTCTCTCTATTCCTCGTTGATTCGATATAAACGAAGTTCGAGGACGTAACACTTAGCTGGCGATTTTCACGCGGCGGGGTGGAGAGACGGACGTGTCGCGGAAGCGTCTCGTCGCACGTTCGCTGTCACACCGGTGATGACCCTTCTCCTCTTCTCGCTCTATACGACAGAACACGCGTGCCTGTGTGTGTGTAGTAGAGTAGGCCTTGTGCTTCCCTGTTTGCGACACGCTCACCGGAGAGTCGGACGATGATGCAGCCTCCTCGCCGCGTCGAACACAGATCTCTCTCTCTCTGTGAAGCAATGGGTCAGGAGATGGTCTCCATGGTAACTGAAGGCGAGCGAGGGGTGCAGCAGAGAGGTGGTATCGTGCATCGATTGCACCCTCGGCTGCTGGACGACCCTGACCTTCGCACAGCTGACGACGACCACACGGCTGGCTCTGGGTCCGCGTGTGTAGAGCGCCGCGGGATGTGCAAGGTTGTCGAGGGAAATTAACGCTGCCGGTTCTCGTTAAGGTATCACCGAGGCTCGCGTTACACCTTTTATGGCGCGTAGCTTTTAAATCCCCCTCTGGTGAATGCTTTGCGTAGTTTGTCTGTGTATGCTCGGTTTGCCTTCCTTCCTTCCTTCTGTGCAAGCTGCTTACACGCGTTCACTTGCCTTCTACGCAACGCGCCTCTCCTCGTTGTGGAAATATAGGTGTGCTCACGGTGACCCGGAAATACGGGCTATATAGGCTGATGTTTCGCTACGGTGCAGCCTTGTTGGAGGAATAGCAGGAGGGATTATACGGGGAGCCTGGGGTGAAATGTTTTTCATCGATCTTTTTAAGGGGTTTTAGAAAGTGAGGAGAGTAGGATGGTTGGATACTGTGGAGGATATGTTTTGGTTTATAGGAGGTACGTGGGTTTTGCACTGCGAATTGAACATTTTGAGAATTAAAGTCAACCTTATGCAAATCAAATTCAACCCTTTGCATTTCATATTCACCCTTTTGCAAATAAAATTCACTCTTTTGCAAGTCAAGTTTTTTTCAGAAACTTGTTTCCTCAAGCTCTTGTAATAAAAATCAAATCAAAAGGAATTCCAAATTTTATCGTATGTAGGTACATGAAATACTTGGCTAATAATTAATAGGATAATAGTAAGAGTGATATGTGGAGTGTGAGTGGATCTGTGATATAAGATAAGGATTTCGTGGCCGAGAGGTTGAAATTAAATAATAACTGAAATACTTGTTTAATAGTAATTACCAATTCGTTGTACATGGAATCCATAATTATCTATTTATTTATTAGTATACGGGTTTTAACCCTTTGGTAAACAAAAGTAAAAAACAATTAACTACAAAGAGACAGATAGATTATACAGAAAAGTCGTAAGAGGCCAGAAATCGCATAGTATTATTTCTAAAAGTAATAAGGGAGGAAGAAAAATTGAGAGAACAGTAAAATCTATTGACATTAATAAAAATTCTATTTAGACAATTGAACTGGCCGTAAACCGTCCTATGAGCTTCAGTACGTAATATCAGATGGTGTCTCAGAGATGACCGAGATGTATTTAAATAAAATTTAAATAAAATTATGTACGAGTATAGTATGAAAACTGTGTGTACCTATTTAATGATAAAGAAGAACATTTTGAAAATGTGATGCTATACCAATCGTTCTATGTAAACTCAACGTTACATCTTTCTCTTGTGCTGTAAAGTAAAATCGGAACAGTTCTGCCTTTTCCTAAATGAGTGATCCTTAGACAGGCCCCAGTTATATCGACATTTAACTTGCCTGCAATTATTATAATTTATGGGAAACGGTAGTGTCCTTTAAATTGTGATTTCAGGTTGGAACAGAATATAAACAAAAGGTTGAATTTAATTTGCAAAGAGGTAAAGTTGTCTCCAGCAAAAAGTTGAATCTGGAGTGCAAAAGCTGTACAAATATGGATTGTGTATGCATTTTCGAACAAGGTAATTGTGCAAAATGAAAAATAAATATTTAAGATGTGACAGGAAAATATTTCTCATTCCACTTTGAAACAAGCAAATATTAAAATTAAACACATTTTGTCGTTAAATGTTTCATTTGAAGTAAAAGAAGCAGTTACACTTTCGTGTACATTTATTTTACAATTCTAGTTCTTCCAATAGTTCCGTCAGGTGCTTCTATTAAGTCATAGGTTCGTGCCGAGAGCGAAAAATAATTTAACGAAAATCCAAGGGATAGCGACGACATAATGATCTTACCAAAAAAAAGGAAGAAGTTGTAGAATGAGAAAGCACATACGTTTCTTCATATCAAATTTAAAAGTTCGTTTAAATTTTCAAATTCGACACGGACTTACGAGATCGCCTAATATACAGTAGTGCACACATAAGCGTCCGAGTTTTTGCACACTTAACCCTTTCGCGACGGAGGAACTAGGCATCAGTCGCCACTAACGGACGGGTCGACGTGCCATTAGTGCACACCACGAGTGTCTCGCGTTTTTCGAGCTCCCACTGTGCCCGTGCAAAATCTTAGAGGATTTCGTTGGAACAGCAGAGGACTTAAGGACGTATCGGATAAAAGGAATGTTGTCGAGGCCTTGTTCTGTATTTTAAAATAAATCTTCACTTTGAG